AAAAAATTTTTTTTGGCTGGATATAAGATTTTAAAACTTGGTTAGGTGGACAGTTTTTGCAGTGAACAAAGCTTAAAATTAGTGTAAAAGGAGCTGAAAAAAATCTTTACCAAATWCTAAATACTAACCAAAAATTTAAGATGGCTGCTACAGCTCACTTTAAAAGGCTACAATTCAGCCATTTTACTGACAGGAAATTTGTTCAGGAGTAACTAAACATGATCACATGCTGACTGTCTATGCTTATCCCAAAATAAGATAACCACTAATGCTAATTTTACAAAGGGGAAAAATCAGTCATTTTAAACGTACACAGCTGACAATCTATACAGTACAGTAGTATCAGAAAWCAATCTTTAACATAATCTAAATGTAAAGATCCAAATCCACTTGTCATTGATATAGGGGTGGCACCTGGGGTGGCCAGTCAGGTGCCAGGTGTGGCACTTGCCACCCAGGTCACCCTTATGGCCCGGCCCCTGCTCTGAGACTTCTTGGGTAAAAACAGGATCTTGATCATTAATCAGATTAATTGTTTGACCCCACAGACGTTTGGAAATGCAGTGCTCGGGCCGTTCAGCTGGATCATCCCTGTTTCAGTGGCGATGTCCTGCTACGGAGGACTCAACGCGTCCCTCATCGCTGCCTCACGGTACTGAGAAAACCCAGAGAAGGTGCTCATGTAGTGCTCAGGTTAGGATAAACAGCCAAAGTACTTCCTGCTGACGTTCCTCTTTACTGACCACACAGGCTGTTCTATGTTGGAGCCAGAGAGGGCCATCTCCCCGACAGCCTGAGTCTGATCCACCTGAAGCGCTTCACACCCATACCTGCTCTGCTGTTCAATGTGAGACCCCAGCGCTGGTCTGTGACACCACCCAGACCAGGAAACAAAGATTCAACTCAGTTTCAATGTTTTTGTGGCTGCAGGGCCTCATGGGTCTGATCTTCCTGTGTGTGGAGGACGTGTTTCAGCTCATCAATTATTTCAGCTTCAGTTACTGGCTGTTTGTGGGTCTGTCTGTGGCCGGACTCATCTACCTGCGCATCACCCAGCCTGACAGACACAGGCCTGTCAAGGTCTGGTTTGTAGTTTTCCTTCATTTATTTATATACAGTGTGCTGCATTATACAACACATTAGTTTTATTAATGGCCTAAATAAGACTTTCTGTCAAAACTTCTGTTAAAGCTGCTTTAAAGGATTCTGTTGTAAAGTTATAAACAATTAATATCTCACCTGTTGAACATGGTGACTGCAGTGAGGAGTTTTAGTCAGACTAGAAGTGACACCAGTGTGGATCTCTGTTGTCATAAAACTCTGATCTCTAACATTTAAAATCAGTTAATAAAATCACTGTTTTATTAACTTTTTATGTTGCTGTTAATATCTATTACTAATTATCAGCAGCTAATAGCTGTAGTATTTCAGATACAGCCTGAATATCCAATTGGAAATGTAAAGCTGAGAAAATGTTGTTCAAACAAAACATTTTTTAAAAGATTTGATTGTTTTAGGACAACAATCATCAAACTTCATCAATTCGATCACATTTAAACTCTAAAAAAGTTGGGACATTGTGTAAAAAGTTTTTTTTTATTCCCAGTGGAACACAATGAACACACCACATGTTTAAGCTACAAATTTGTACTTTTTTTTTTAGTTAAGAATTTGATGCTAGTAACACATCTAAAACAGTTGACCCAGGTCCAAGTTACCTCTGTGAAGTATTTACTTTTCTTAACAACAGTCTGTAAATACTCAGGATCTGAGGATTCTAGTTGTTCAGCAGTTCTGGGTTGTCTTTGCTGGACTTTTGCTGGATGGGAACAAATGTTATAAAAACCTGTAGATACTTTCCAGATGTGTAAGCTGCCAGARGCACTGATGCACCCTCATATCATCTGAGAAGCAGACTTTTGAACTGATTTTTTTTTTCTTCCTGCTCTTGGCGAAGGCGGTCGCTTTTTCCACTTCAGCCTTCCCTTATCTATCCTGCTTTGCTGCATTTTAGAGCCTCCTTTACATATCATCCAAAACTAGAAATGATGGATCTGGTCAGGTGGTCTCTCAACGCTATTGATCAAAYGTTTTCTACATGGAAACTGGGAAAAAGAAAGCCTTCTTGTCCCGATGGGACATGTGCAGCAGGGCGCGTTATGGATTCCTGGATTGAGTGAAGAYAATGTGCCTTTCTATGCTGTCGGTTGAGGACGTTGAAGATGTTTACATAATTGGATTAATGATAGCAGAATTTCAGCTGATTGGAGATGGTGGATATCTGGCCTATMGTGGAATTCGAAACGTGTCAGGAGCTATTCGGGCCTTGATGAGGCTACCCGGCTTGTATTATGGAATTTGCCGGGCTGTCAACACTCAGACTGGAGCAGAACCGCAAGATAGATGCTGTCCTCATTGAGGGTCGCAGGTCAGCTGTGGCTCCTGAGCCTGGTGAGGCGAGGATTGACCAACAAATTTGGCTGACTGGAATTTTGCCATAGACAGTTCGAGTGAGACGTTAAGGTGACAAGAAAATCTGTAGAAGTCAGCTTGTTCCAAAACAAGTTACCATCTGATTTAGCTCCCTTCGTGACCTTTAAGGCTTGATAGGCAAACTCTACTGGATGTTATGTCATCTGCATCCACATCCTGTAGATGTTTATAGCATCAGTTTCTCTAAAATTCTATTTTTAGATCCAGTCATCTTACTGACTCATTGATAGTTAAACTAATTAGTTTCAAAGTTCTTGTCCAGCTTTTTCTYATTCAAACCCACCTAACTTTTTTGTGTTACCCCAAGAAGAGTGAAAATGGCTTTATCTTGTATAAGAAAAGTAATAATGCTTTGTTTTTTTAAAATAAAAGTGCTACAATACAGAAATAAGGAGGTGACTAGTTATTTCAATTACTGTAAAAACTAAAGCCCTAAAGTGAAGTGATTTCTGAATCATAATAAWTCAACAGTTTCAGTTTGTCCGTGTGAACAGATGTAAACAGAAAAATACTGATAACTGTTTTTCTTTCTTTTCTCCACAGCTGAGCCTGTTCTTCCCCATCATCTACTGTGTTTGCAGCATCTTCTTAGTCATCGTCCCGCTGTACGGAGACACCATCAACTCCCTCATAGGGATCAGTATTGCTCTGTCTGGTGTTCCAGTTTATTATGTGGCCATTTACCTGCCTGAGGAGAGGAGGCCCAGATTCATACACAAACTAAACAGTACGTTTTYTACTTTAATCTGTTTTCAYAATGCTTTATGCAGACGTGAGAGAYAATTGTTGAAATGTGTTATTGACTCAGTTCAGTTTATTTCTATAGCACWAATTTACCACAAATGTCAYCTCAGGACACAGTCCAAAGATTAAATCATATCAGTTTAATCCAGTTCAGTTTGAAACAGAGCTAGACAGACTGGACCAAATCACTTTGGTGTGATCGCTCACGTTTGAGTTTATGTGGTCCAGGTGTAGTTTCTATAGTGCAGGTGTGGTTTCTATGTGTCATGTGTGGTTTCTATGTGTCATGTGTGGTTTCTATGTGTCATGTGTGGTTTCTATGGTCCAGGTGTGGTTTCTATGGTTCAGGTGTGGTTTCTATGGTTCAGGTGTGGTTTCTATGGTTCAGGTTTGGTTTCTACGTGTCAGGTGTGGTTTCTATGTTGCAGTTATGGTTTCTATGGTTTGGGTGTATGGTTCAGGTGTAGTTTCTATAGTTCAGGTGTAGTTTCTATAGTCCAGGTGTAGTTTCTATAGTTAAGATGTGGTTTCTATGTGTCATGTGTGGTTTCTATGGTTCAGGTTTGGTTTCTATGGTCCAGGTGTGGTTTCTATGGTTCAGGTGTGGTTTCTATGGTTCAGGTTTGGTTTCTACGTGTCAGGTGTGGTTTCTATGTTGCAGGTGTGGTTTCTATGGTTCAGGTGTGGTTTCTATGGTTCAGGTGTGGTTTCTATATTTCAGGTGTGGTTTCTATGTGTCAGGTGTAATTTCTATGGTTCAGGTGTGGTTTCTATGGTTCAGGTGTGGTTTCTATGGTTCAGGTGTGGTTTCTATGGTTCAGGTGTGTTTCTATGTGTCAGGTGTGCTTTCTATGTGTCAGGTGTGGTTTCTATGTGTCAGGTGTGTTTTCTATGTGTCAGGTGTGGTTTCCAAGTGTCAGGTGTGATTTCTATAGTTCAGGTGTGAACTAGCACTCTATGTTCTGTTCATTCAATAATATGACTGAATAGGTTTAAAACACTTGGATATACTGTAAAACAAACAAAGGTAATAATATAATTTTAGTCAAAATATTACTATGTGTCAGGTGTGGTTTCTATGGTTCAGGTGTGGTTTCTATGTGTCAGGTGCAGTTTCTATGGTCTAGGTGTAGTTTATGGTTCAGGTGTAGTTTCTATAGTTTAGGTGTGATTTCTATGGTTTGTGTATATGTTTCAGGTGTTGTTTCTATGGTTTCTGTTTTATTTATTTATTTATGACAACATTTTTAGCAGGCAGAAGTTAAAATGTATATAAGAACAGAGTATGGTTATTT